TGTGCAAAGCGACTTTTTGACCTTCAAACGATCATAACTTCCTTCAAAGTCATTCATTTGGGAAGCTGAACACGTATAATAAACTACAGGATTCAAGCTTTCTAACGAGCACCCAAGCGTTCCTGAAAGATCAGTAGTTCAAAAATTAGTCCCGTTGTTACTTTTTTCTGTGCAAAGCGACTTTTTGACCTTCAAACGATCATAACTTCCTTCAAAGTCATTCATTTGGGAAGCTGAACACGTATAATAAACTACAGGATTCAAGCTTTCTAACGAGCACCCAAGCGTTCCTGAAAGATCAGTAGTTCAAAAATTAGTCCCGTTGTTACTTTTTTGGGGGTTTGCGTTACTATTTTTTTGGAACCGCGACTTTTTTACCTTCAAACGATCATAACTTCCTTAAAATCATTCATTTGGGAAAAAGAGGTGTGGTCCCACGAGCCCGCTACGTGCAAATCCGCATTGTCATCAAAGGGTTAAGCGATCGAAATCGTCTGCAGGTGATATGTTGACCGTTTGGCATCTAATTGCTAGGAAAAGTTGTATTTCACTATCCTTAATTGTAAGCCATTGAGCATGAGATAAACGAGTGCTTCTGAGTACTGTCTACTGATGTCATCGTACATATAGAGTGAAAATAAACCGTTATCGTTCTGCATTTGAAACCTCCGATCACTCATGCAATCTTCATTTCAATGAAAATTCTATGCCAATTGCATAGATGCAGTAAAAATTAGACGTCACTTTCCTTGAAGTAGCAGCGAATAAACATCAAATCCCAAATTTTCCCTTCATCGTATTCGCAGTAGCATCCATATTTTATTTCACCGCGTAGCCCATCCATCTGAATGAAGTTAATAAAAAAAGGATTTAGCCACGACTTAAATATATTCACCTAAAGAGAAGGAGTCATACAAGGGTCCCAAAAAAGGTCAGTATAATTGTTTGATAAATATATGTAGAGGGTACAGCTCACGTCACCTTGTATGGCATGAACTTCACTTCAGCGCCATCCTTGGAGAGGTCTGGCTATTCCGATGTTGAGTGCCTTCCCGATTTCGCCTGGACACTATCGTATTGTATGCGTATAACGTACTTGTTCAGTACTGTACCCTTCCATCCCCTCCACACTTACGAGCAGGATCAACCGCCGCATTTGTAATTGTTCGACAATTTACGACTCCCTCCACCCCTCCCCCCCCCTCCCTACCAGAGCCTCGATACATTCTCTCTTCTGTACCATATACTGAGAAGATTCCACTGTATCAGTAAGAAATGGGAAGTGAAATAAACAAAATGAGGGAGTTGAGTAAAAAATGTCGTGGTGATGAATATTAATTTCTGGTTTCGTTAACACGTTGACGACAGCTGCATACTTTGAGCACCGTGTGGGACCGTGTGCAGCGCATGCGCTTCCCACCCAAATGTTTGTTTTTTTGCGCATGCGCCGATTTTTCTATGCATCTGTCCTATAGATCACACCATGACATGACGGACACGGCTTCATCGAATGGTTGAATATGCTCCTTTTTAGCGAAGGTTTTCCAAGTCCTACGAATTTCCCAATTGTGTTCATTCCTAGTTTTCTTTATATTCTGATAATCTTGGTCATAAAAAAGAGTAGCAGAAGTAAGTACAGACCTATTCATACATACAGTGCGTTTCAAAAGTATGTGGACACCTCAACAATTCACGTTTAAAAAGGTAACTAAGAGGCTTCGTGCTATGCTCAATCGATTTCTCGTAGTCGATAACTATCAATGGAAGCAAAGCAGATAATATCGCCTCACTTTAAAAAAAATTTTGGATTGAATTTTTTTCTTTGTTTCAAAAGTATGTGCACACTTGAAGAAGATCAGATTTTGGCGCCGAATTTTCCACCGATTTCAATCCGACTTTGCTGTTTTCATTTCGTCATCATGTCAATTCGCGCCATACTTCTTCCTGAAGATGAGCAAGCTCAGATCAAGGTTCTGCATGATAATGAACGTTCCAATCTAGAAATCGCACGATAACTTGGTCGTTCTCCTTAATGCATTCGAAGATTTATCTGGCACCCTGATAATTATACTCAGCACACACTCCGCTCCATCCACGATCCTTGACTGCTCAGAACAACAAAAGAGTAGCCCACATCCTGTCGGATTCTTCATTGACAGTCCGAGCTCAGATTTTTATTCCAGCCTCGAAAATGACCACTAAGCCCCTCGTCCACTCAAATGAATATACCACTCGACAGACGCTGAGAAAGTCTACTAACTTTAAGGCCCAGC